AGTTAAGTTGGGACATCTAGTTAGGAAAAAGATAAAAGCCTGGCTATAATAGAGAATGTGTTATGAGAAGTAATGGGAAATATATTGGGATAGTTGGATAGTGCTAACTGGATTCTGAGTATATGGTGGCAGGAAACAGTCACAGTGAAGGAGCTCTTTGATTTTTTTCAACAAGAAAAGTATAATCATGAAACTTGGGTTTGAGGGAATTTAACCTGGCACAATTAGACAGGTTACAGTGGAATAGAGCAGAGACTAGAATCCGCAAACCTAAGTAAGAGATGGTTGCAATTACCAGAACTGAAGTGACTGAAGAGTAAGAGTAAGGGGGTAAGTGGTAGAAATATTGCGTTAAAAAGACATAGTAAAAAACATCTTAAATAAGATCAGAATCTGGGCCAGGAAGTGGTCCCTTGGAGATAATTATGATTCTCACCTTTGTCGATTAAGCTTATAGCATTTTTAAATTTCAAATAATCATTACATATAAGCATATTCTAGTCTAAAAAGAACATGTAGAATAAGTAAATGTAGAAATCCATTCCAATGAATAAAAACACATATTTGTATTATCTCTTAAGACATAAGAGCTGCTTAATGCTGGTATTGTAAATTTATTGCACCACATGAATGTACTAACTTGAAATAGCAAGTTTTGCCTTATTCCCTCAAGATCAAAAGATTGCTCTCAGGAAGTCCCCAAAGATGTGAACTCTCTGGAGGAAATACCATGCACATAGCTCCCAGAAGTGCACATTTGAGTACCATTAGCAAAGGAGGGATGGTTTGCCTCAAATTTCATGGGAATATATAAGGATCAAGCTCATTGCTAAGGCAGCCAGACAATCCACCCAGGGACCCAGTGTCTGAAGTCAACAGTTCCTATGATATGTGGAAACAAAATAAAGAGTAATACAGATGGTAGCCTGCATTTACAATTTCCAGAAGGAGCTGAGCCACTGAAGCCACTTATGAAAATCAGCCACATATCACATCCTTGGAAGAAATCCAGCTTGAAGCCCAGGTAATACTGGCAAAAGAGACACCTACAAAAACATGGTTTGAAATCTCATTATGAAAAGCAGGTGGGGAATAATTGCATGTCCTCTCAAGCTAGATGTGGAATTATAAATGTAAAATACTGATTACTCAAACTTTTTTAAAGGCTAATGTCCCCTTCTGAAGATTACACTGAGACCCTGACCAAAAATATCAAGAGGAAAAATTATTCACACCATTCAAAGCTTGTGGTATTTCAGTGACCTTTAGAGCTGAGGACTCTCTCTGTACTTTACCCCAAGCCAATTTTCTTTTGCACAGCCTGGTACCAAAAGAAGATATTCTCAGGCAGGCTGATGCTGTGGGGGGAAAAAAAAAATTAAAACGCAACAAGGTTCTACTAAGGACTCTGAGAAACAAACTGAGGGTTCTAGAGGGGAGGGGGGTAGGGGGATGGGTTAGCCTGGCGATGGGTTATTAAAGAGGGCACGTATTGAATGGAGCCCTGGGTGTTATACGCAAACAATGAATCAGGGAACACTACATCAAAAACTAATGATGTAATGTATGGGGATTAACATAACATAAAAAAAAAAAAAAGGCTCTTAGAAGTCATTCTAAATGATTATTCTAAAAGACCATGACATTCTAATGTCGATTAAGCTTATAGCATTTTTTAATTTCAAATAATCATTATATATAAGCATATTCTAGTCTAAAAAGAACATGTAGAATAAGTAAATGTAGAAATCCATTCCATTTCATTCCATGATGTAATGATGTAATGTATGGGGATTAACATAACATAATGATGTAATGTATGGGGATTAACATAACATAAAAAAAAAAAACGCTCTTAGAAGTCATTCTAAATGATTATTCTAAAAGACCATGACATTCCAGTACAATGTCTCCTGCTTTCGAGGTGTGTGTGTGTGTGTGTGTGTGTGTGTGTCACAGAGCGATCTATCCCTTCAGCTGGCTAATACATAGAACTCTGACATTATAGTGTCTTAGATAACTTTATGTTCGTTTTCAAGAACAAAATTTATGGCTGCACTTTACCCTGAATAAAAAGCTTCTAATTTAGTTACCTTTCTCACTGTCAACTTTTATCAATTTTCTCTCACTATGTAATGAGGTTTAACCATAGAAAGGGATTATGCTAATGTTATTCTTAAGGCTGAGGAAAAAAAAGGTAAATGTTGGGCTAATAGTTGTAATTGTACATATTGACATTATTTCAGACCAAAAATGGGCTTTTTCATTGATTTTTGGAGACACTCTAAAATTTCTAGGTTGTTCAGATAGACCCACTATGACAATGAACCTTGGAAAGGAGCCCTAACCATACTGTCACCTCAGCAGAGCATAAGAAATAAAGAGGACTCCAGGCCTCAATTTATTAGCAAGAAATAATTTTTGAACATTTCCTATGGATAACACTGCCAAATACTGTGGACCACATCCAACTAGGAAGATATTGTCCCCACTCTAGTGGAGTTTATTATTTTACTTTCATCATTTTCTTAGGCCTGGAAAACTATAATCCTAAATGAAGCCACAGGACTAATAGCTGTATTAACAACCCCAGCTCATTAGTAAGGCTGTGGCCCAGGTACCCAGGGGAGAGAGCTGTAAAAGGAACCTTTCTCTTCTCCCTGGACCTCCCCAGCCTGCCTCCCCTAAATATAGAAACATCTTGAATTTTATATCAAGCTTATTTGAATCACTGATGAAAAGAAATCATATAATCATCTCCAAGTTGATGACTGAACCTTCTGGGTTACACAGAAAAGTAGAAGTTTATAACTTTATACAGTGCAGAAAATTGCATACAGCCCTGAAGGAGTTGGTCAGTTTAAGTTAATAACCTACTTAGGAAGGCGGAGTAAAATGCACACCTTTTCAAAGCCCAGGTATGTCCCCACCAAAAAGCTGTGGGGTATATTTACTTAAATGCAAATTATATGAAGTGTCTTAGTTCATAATTGTTATGAAACATACAGGAATCTTGTATAGTCAATGTACTAGGTATATTTGATTTTGATATAAAAACAATAGGCAAAAACAAATTTATTTTAATGTTTGCTATTTTGCAATGCTGTCATAGTAAACTCTGTGTTCAGGGATGGGTATAAATAAACTAAGCAGTGCAAATCTTATTCCTTTGGGGCAGGCCTTTTGCATTGTAAAAACAGTACCACACGATTTGCACAAAGCCTTGCGTACCTACCTTTCCACATCTTTATGCTATCATAACATGGCTTTGGAGAGGTGAAATCCAGGAGTTTTGACTATGCTTATATATCTACAGCCTAATATTGTATGTGAAAAAGTAAACAAATCAGGAATATGTATTTAATTTGGAAGCCTAAATTTCTTTGTTTTATGAATATGCAAAACCCCACCTGTTCTAACTTTGCACAAGATTTAAAAGAAGGACAACACTGACATGTGGATGGACTGACTGTGTTCTATCATTTCCTGGTTAGGGCACATTCACAAATCCCAACATATTCACTGAAAGATTTGCCTGCTGCCACAGGTAGCCAACCCTGCTTATAAAATTATATATATTCTATATGTATAATATATATTATATAGTAATTATATAATTATATTATATTATATATAGTAATTATATAATTGAGATATGTATCTCAGTATTATATATAAAGTATTAGTATTCTATATAGAGTATTATATAGTATATATATACTATATATAAGTATAAAGTATTCTATATAAAGTATTATATAGTATATATATACTATATATATAAGTATATATAAAGTATTACATATAATACTTTACATATATATATCAGTATATATATATATATATACTATATATATAAGTATATGTAAAGTATTACATATAATACTTTATATATATATCAGTTATATATATAATTATATATATCTCAATATTATTATATATAAGATATAAATATATTTCAACTACCTAACAAGTACTTTTCTATGCCTCATATAAACAAAAAGTTGTACAACATAATCTTTGTCCCCAACCTTGGAGGTCTTCAAGTGCATGATACCTATTGGGATAGTTGAAAGGCAGGGAACATATTTAGACATATGTACTGTTCTTACTTTTCAGGGAGAACCAAATTACCTACCATTTCAAAGAACATTGTTTTTTATTTCCTTGGTACCAAATCAATAAAAGTCAACAACAGCTGTTGCTTAATGGCCCCAAAGAGTGAATGCACTGCCTAAATTGAACACAGTTCAGTGTCTACACCAAGTGGGCCCTCAAGTAATGTTGATGGATTGGCTTTCTCACAAGCAGTAAAAACTCAATTTTTAGAGATGGCTCCTGTAAGACTAAAATCAGTAATTCCAAAGCAGGGTGTGTGTTGAATTCTAGGTTTGTGGCAATACAACAATGTGTTATAAATATAAAAACTACATTTATTTGTTTCCATTTTTTAAAAAAAATGTTTTCTAGTTAATACTAAGAGATTCCCAATAATTTTGAGTGATAATCTGAATATACAAGACTAGAAATTTGGATGATTCAATATAAATATTCTGATAGTGATACTGGAATGATTATGAAGAATCTGAAGACTCAAATATCTGAAGATACAAGCTTGTTGATTAGTAATAACTTTAAATTACAGTAATAAAGAGCATGCTCCAATTGAACTGTTCATTGCAGATTATCTTTAGTGTATAGATTTGGACCACGTTCTACATTATTATGCACTATTCTTTAAACAAGATGGGCAAGTTGTTGAAGATATGCCATGAGTGGTCATTTAATTTGAAAGCATAATGAATTTCCCCTTTTGCTTCCAGCCATACAACCATGGGGTTTTGTGGCTTTACCCTTTGATCAGGTGACAGCTCAGAAAGCATCTCCTTAGTCAAAGCAGAATCTCAGAGAGTAAGGGAGTGGGCTGTTAGGAAGCTCAGGAGAGCAGTGCTTCTGCATCCTATGTCCAAGGCAGAGCTGTGCTCGACGTTTGGAAAAGTTTGGGCAAATAAACTAACAAGTATCTAACACCACAAGATGGGGAGTGGAATTAGCTCAGAGAGCAAGGAGTCAGCCAAAAGATCCAAAGAACTGGAGAAAAAGCTTCAGGAAGACGCTGAGCGAGATGCAAGAACTGTAAAGTTGCTGTTATTAGGTAATTTTTTTTTCCCTTTTGCTTTCAAAACCCCCACTTTTTTTTCAATTATGATGTATTTCCTTTTCTCAAATTTTAATTTCAGGTATATTACCATATGGGGGATGTATAATGAATATGTGCTTGGAAACTTAAAAAGATTTTATATGCCCTCTATAAATGTTTACTTTGCTTGTTTAATATTTTATTTTTTTTGCTTAAGCAGAGAGACAAATATTTGTGAGATGATTCAATTCCTCTTTGTTAATAATACAATTTACTATTATTAAAATAAAACTCATATGCATTTATTATTTTATCTCACCCTAATCATTTTCTGAATGTCAGTTATTTAGTACTGAAAACAATCCTTTAATTACAAGTTATAAAGAGTTACATTATTTTGTTTGAACAGAAACATGTTGAGTTGTTTGATATCAAATTTAATATGTTATTTAATTACTTGTGCTGTGAAAACCAATTAGTCTCAAGTTATTTAGAGAGTAATGAATGATAAGGTACTTTATATTAATAACACTGTTCAGGCTTCTGAATATTGCCTGTGATACTGTTTTACACTTGTAAAATACTCCATTTAAGGTCTTTTAGGATATTTATATATTGATTCAGGTCAGGAATTATGTTCCTTCTATCTTTTTATCCTTTTAAAACTCAGCACAATGTTTTACCACAACTCTAAATTCAACAAATGTTTAATGAGTTGAAGGAAATCTGTATGCTGCACATTTTTCTAAACATAAAAAATCTAACATATAGTGGTCACAGCAAGAAAAAATGTTTTTGAAATAAAAATCAAGACCTATATAAAGAGATCAAAACAAGAACTTTAATCAGTTGTGTGTTCCTCCTGCTTAGTTACACACAAAAGGACTTCATTTTATTTCAGAATTGTGTATCGTTCACATGAAATACCCTCATTTTTCTAAGTGCCCCCTTTCCTGTGTCTAGTTTGCTCCCAGTGGCAAGAGTGTCTCAGAAACCAACTGTGGGATTCCCAGCACCTGCTCCTCAAAGAAAAGAAAACATTCTCTCCCTTTATGCACAAGTTCTGTGGCTCACACTTGCCCACAGCACTCACAAGTAACCACCTAAGGATGGGAACTTAGAAAGATGTTGGGGCCAGCTCTTATGACAGCACAGAATATATTTTCCCTCACACTCCAGAGCATTCCCTGAGGCTTTGATCAAGAGTAAAAGTAATGTGGACATAGAAAAAGCAAATAAAAGAAGAGAGGGAAAGCCAAGCACTTCTACAAATGCATTCGGTGTCCCTCTCTTGTACTAAGAACAGTGATAGAAGAGTAATGATAAAATATATTTAAAAATCCCTATGTTGAGGGGCGCCTGGGTGGCTCAGTCGTTAAGCGTCTGCCTTCGGCTCAGGTCAGGATCCCAGCGTCCTGGGATCGAGCCCCGCATGGGGCTCCCTGCTTGGCGGGAAGCCTGCCTCTCCCTCTCCCACTCCCCCTGCTTGTGTTCCCTCTCTCTCTGTCAAATAAATAAATAAAATCTTTTTTAAAAAATCCCTATGTTTGAATAAAATTTCCAAAAGACTAGACCTATTCTCAATACACCAGTTATTTTTAGATTAAAGCGGTTGAGTTAGATCAAGAAAAGAGGGTAACTTCTAAAACCAGAGATAAAAAAAAGAATCACTAGGAGCACTATTTTATCTTTTACTTTCCCCAGACAGTCACAGTTTCATAAATTCAGTTCCAAAGTTACCAGACAATACGCTTGGATTTATTTGGTTCCGACAATATGTGCACCGAACTTCTTATTTACACAAGTGAATCAAATTCTCAAGTCTTCCTCTTTCAGTTTAGTCCAAATATTTGTCTTAAGTTTTCCCTTCTGGACTCTTGAGTTCTATGCATGATCGTTCAATTGTCAAGTTCAAAACAACAAAGTCTTGTAAAAACTCTGCTTCAATCCTCATTTTTTCCTTGAACTCAAATTCTCTAGTCATTTTTTATATGCAATATGGCCTCATTAAGACATACAAGCATTCAGTGGAACTAACCTAAACCTTGCCATCCTCCTACACTCAAATTCCCTCACGAATGAAATTTAACCTCTCCCATCATTGAAACAATGATTCCTATTCATGAGAGCAGTCTAAACCACAGTTTTTATGTGTATCAATGTGTGTGTGTCATGCGGGACCGACCAGTTAAGGCTTGGTAGTGATCAGATCCTGATTCTAACTCAATTTTTTAAAAGATTCAAATTGAAAAATATTTTTGACATAAGTCATGCTTTATGCTGATCCTCTTATCTAATAAATTCTAGGTGCTTAAACACATAACACAACTTACCAAATTTAACATGTGCTGTAAAGCAGATGTACCATTTGGTATTATTGCAGGACACAAGACTTCACTGAAGTTAAAGAGCTATCTGATGGCTATTTTACAAATAAAGAATCACCTTGCAGACAGGTTGCCTCTTTATTATGCCTTTCAGACATTTAGTAATATTACAGAAGAGATGCCACATCTTTTTCCTTTGCAAAAAGCAGGCTTCTAGGAAACACTGGAGATTACTCAGACATCCCGGCCACATGTGAAAATTGCAATCAGGACAATAATGTCATATGCTTTAAAAAGAGAGGGGAAAAAGCCTGTAAAGATGTCCCAGAAAGAGTACATTTTAATAAGAAGAACAAATTCTAATGAATAACATGTTCTCTTTTGGAGAATTCCTAAGTTAGTTATTTTTTAAAGACTTAATTTATAAATGTCTGATTAAACTTTATTTCTATTGAAAAGAAATACCTGTCATTAAATTGCAGAATCAGTGTGGATCGTTTCCATTCTTTCCATGTCCCTTCTCTTTATATTTTACATTAACTTCTTTAGTACTTCTGTAAGTTCAGAGCTTAATGGGAAATATAAGGAAAACTTAGCTTTGTTTTCTCTTCATATTTGAAACATAGTCATATTTATTCTACAATTTTCAGTTATGATATTATAATTAGCTTTTAGCCAGTGATTTCCGGCACTATCCTGGACTGTTCATCCTTCATTTTCTTTTAGCTCTAAACCTTTATATTCTTTATTTTTCTATGTGCTATATTATAAATGTCACATAACTTTTTAATGGTGCTATTTGAGCTTTATTGTCTTAAAATATTATTGCAATCATCTAACTCTTAGAAACATGAACCTGAACATCCAAATACAGAAGAATATCTACTTTAAATGTGTTTATATTTACTTAGGTAATCAACATTTTCAAATTTTTCAAAGGGCCCCACTTACTCAACAAATGGATATTTTAGAAAGTGTATCATTTTTCCAGGATGACAGTAGGAGAATTATAATAATTCTGACACTGTCTAAAAGCTTATTTCAAAATAATTGGTAAAACAAAATCTGCACAGCAGAATTGACTAAATAGGCATATCTACCTGGCAGAGTGGAGAGAATGTAATTCAAAACAAATGAGTACAATGTGTTTTTAAGCCACGTGAGATTAAAAAAAAATTGATTTAATGCTTTCATTATGTTATGCCTTTTTCACATCTCTGAGGTACCTCAGGCTAGCCACATAACCTCAGAGAAATGGTGGGTATCAAAGTATTTTATAAACTGTAAAAATCCAGACAAATGTGGTTTTTGTTGTGTAATAGATTTGCAAAACTGAAATAAGTTGGATGTCAATGTATACAATTTTTCTTCCTTTTGTTTTCCTCTTATGTATACCTAAGAGGAAAGAAGACAGAAATTCAGGTTAAATCAAAGTTCTTACTTTTATTCTTTCCTTTTTAAAGTAGGTCTACTTGGAGAGTTTTCAAATTTTCTCCAAAATGCAATGAACCGTTTGCATCATAACAATTTGAAAGTTCCAAAAGCAAAGCCAAATATTTGTAATGTTGTATTTATTTGCCAAGAATGACACATGGCAGTATCAAAGAGCTCTATATAATGCCCTTTTCCAACAGGCAAAAAGAACTTAGACAAATGTTCTGCATACATTTGGTTGTTTGTTTGAAGTTAATCTATCTTAAATAAGCAGCACATCTTCTACATAGACTCAGGTCTCTCACATAAAAGATGCAAACCATTTATTAAGGCATTCCATATTTAGCCAAATGACAGTATTTGCTAATGAGATTAAGTACTCTGGGAAAGACTGGTTAACTCTAACTTAACAGAACCTCTCTAGTAATATCACAGAATTTTTTGCATTCACTTTTTTTCATTCAAACTCTGAATTACTGATTCAAGAGCAAGCGATACTGTACCTTTAAAAACATTTACATAAGCACCAGGAGCAGCTAACAAAAAGTCACTTACACCTCCAAACTGTTAGAGAGATAGGAGGGTAGTGAACTTTTGAGAGCATAATAACTCCATGATAGATTTCACATAAAATATACCTCCGGTTAAGATTTTAGACTCAAACTCAGAATCCATCTGCTTATCTAAGTTTTCTCCAAGTATTGATGTGTAAATACATCAGTGTAGCCTTGAACCTATAGAAGTAGGATTGATTCAATGTGAAACTGAGGATGAGACCCACCAAGATGTGGAAAAACACCCATTCTGTTCATTAGATTTTGATGCTTTAAAGCAGATTTCACAGCTTTCATTCCTGCCTCAGTATTTCATATTCAAATAGAATAAATGTGCTACTTAGAATTGTTCCTTTTTTAAGATATCTGAAAGTTTCAATCTCTGACCAGCATTTTATATTCTCTCATTCTTTTCGACTCTTGCTGAGTTAGTTCTTCGATTTCATATACTTTCCTGACCCCTTCAGTCAGAATCAGCCATTTTAGCTTCATTCCTCTGACAGTTCTGAAATATCCTGTCCCTTTAATCTTTTGCCTTGAGATTCATACCCTCAACCCTAGCTAATTCCTCAAAATTCTCCATTCACCATTGTTCTAATACACTGAAGCCAACCAAGTTCCATCAAAGTGATGCTATTCAACATCTTTTCAGCCCTTAGGGATGACCTAACCCTGACCCCCACGCATACTCCTAATTTCC